CCACACACTCACTCACCAATGAAGCAAGGAGTAATGGCGGCTACAGCCTGGTGTTCCAGCGAGTGACAGTCTACATTGTCCCTCTGGTACAGGGGCTTGAGAGCTTGGGTCAAACAACGCTGGGCGTCACTGAGGAATGCCTGGCCCTGCAGACAAAATCATTCGCTTACCTCAGGATTACAAAGTTCTATTTGACATTTCTTGCCGTTTTTTAAAAACATGAGATAAAAACAACAACAACAGCAGCAACAACAACAACAACAACAACAACAGCAACAACAACAACAACACAACAACAACAGCAGCAACAGCAAATTGAAAGTTCTATCTGCTCTATCAAAATAATTAGATAATTCGGAGTCGTCATCAAGATATTCAAGTGAGGCAGCGTGGTGGAATCAGGCTCTCGTCAAAATAATCAAAGTGAAGAAACTTGCATTTTTCCGCAGGTTTATGAATTTTCATCAATTTTTTGTTTTTTGGCTCAACACCTTTCATGCCCATTAAAGAACTCATTTCTAAGTGAATTTTTCTGATACCAATAACTGTACATGCCCAAAAATTGACGAGAGCCTGATTCCACCACGCTGCCTCACATAATTGTATTTAAAAAAGCTTGACAAGATGTGAAACTCAAAATTTCTCACGTACGGTTTCTCAAAACAAGACAGAGCCTGGGAATTGTAAGGTAGAGACAGGTTTACAATAAACGACGTTATCAAAACAGATTAGTTTCTTTGACGGATGAAAGGAAGAGATATACCTAGTTGTAATCCCCTCTCCCTAGGTTTTTACTTTTTCACCTTCCTTCATGAAACACCACTCAAGGGACCATATTTCTTCTTCTTCCCCCCCCCCCCCCCCCCCAAAAAAAAAAAAAAAAAAAAAAATAATAAAAAAACATAACAAATAAACCAATAAGTAATAAGAAAAATAAACAAAATATAATCAGTTAATCAGTACCGCGTCTGTGAAGGTGGAACTGAGTCTCTGCATCTTGTTGCAATAGTACTGTCCATGTCGCAGCATATACCAGTCTCGGCCACAGGGCAGGCGGTTCTCAAAACAGGTGTAAAACTCACAGCTTCCCTCGTCGGCCAGAGCAAGGCAGGACTCCTCCACGGCTGAGGGGCAAACAGTTGTGTGTTAGTGTATTAGTGTGGCGTCGGTGGCCTTGTGGTTAGGCTCTCGGACTCGCAACCGTAAAGTCGTGGGTTCGAATCCTGTCAGGGACTCGACGTTGTGTCCTTGGGAAAGGCACTTTGCACAAATTTTCCTCACTTCACCCAGGTGGAAATGGGCACCCAGCTATAGACAGTGAAAGGTCTTGTCAGTTTGATAGTGTTTGAGCGCGTGAAATCCGCAGCTTGCACTGTATGCTTCCACGGAAGCTGAGAATGTTTCTGGGTGTTCTCAGAGGGTCTGCTGGGGTAATAATAGTTGTAAAGCGCATAGAGCAAGCTCTGGAGCATGGATATGCCCTATATAAATGCAATTATTATTATTATTATTATTATTAGTTTGTTATTTCGATTTACCCGGGAGCTATGGATAAGACAGAATGCGCAACAGCAGCTGACGACCGTGAAAGATGGAAGGTCATTACACGCCAACCTCTGAGTCAGAGATGACACCTCCCCGTATCCAGGTATTTCGATTTAATATGCATGGTAACTGAACACTTCATTACCTCATAATTACAACGAAGTTTTATTTGCTCAAGACTTAGTTTTGAGAAATCTGACGTCAAAATGTTTGGATTTCACAACAATGTCAAGCTTTTTCGAGTGTAATGTCCTTGAATAACTGGATAACGACTCCGAGTATTTATACGATTTTGATAGAGCAGATAGATACACATAATTTGCTTTCTAGCCTCATGGTCTTATACGTAACTCTAACGGCCAAAAAAGTCACATACGACTTTGTAACTCTGAGGTAGCGACTTAATGAAAAGTGGAGGATCTCGAACATTCCACCTGAAAAGAAAAACTAATAAATAATTAGGCTAACTTGTTGAAATAATTAGGTACGTAATACCTAATACTATCATGTGCACCCTTTTCTACTAATCAGATGGCGTCATTATGATAATAGTGGGCAAGGGACAATTATTTTTTCTTTAAAGTTAGTCATCTGGACTGGCCAAGACACCTACGCTGTGGTTTAGCGATTAGACGCTTTGCTGTCTCACGAATAAAACACTAGTTCGATTCCAGAGTAGGGAGAGTTTTAATCTAGTATCTCTGTCTTTCTGCTGGGATGTTGTATCCATTTCAGCCAGGGTTGGCCCTGGCAGGCTGGATCGGAAGCCCACATCCTAAATGTTCTAAATTGTGTCCGTAGGGGAGTAAAATCATCAACATAATAAAAAAAAACCCAACAACATCAAGTCTATCCTGCAGGGAAGGGCACAAGCAGCGAAATGAAGAGGCAAAACACTATCTTAGAATTACAAAGTTCTATCTGACATTTTTGGCTATTTTGAGTTACTAAGACCATGATGTCAGAAACCAAATGTTCCATCTGTTCTATCAAAATTGTTTGATAATTCGGAATCGATATCAAAATTATCAAAGAATTGCATTCAAAAAAAAAAAAAAAGCTTGACATGTTATGAAATTCAAAATTGTGTTGCTTCAAATTTCTCAAAACAAAGATACTGGTCGCTGCTAAAACTTTGTAATTTTAGGGTAGCGAAGAGAGGAACAAACAGAAAGACAACGTCATAGAATGGACTGGCTGTGAGTGGAAAAAATCATACAACGTGAAGCTGAAAACCGAGAGGAGTGGAAGAAGATGATAGAAAAATTTTGCTGGGCTGTCCCAACGGTCATCCAGACTAGGGGATAGGATCAGGTGAAGGTCAAGTTTGATCAGTGAAACGTTAACAAAAACAGGCACAGAGGTCAGGCACCTGTGGTGTTACAATTAAGTGCTTCGCCGTGACACGCAGAGGACGTGAGTTCAATTCTCCCGTGGGAAGGGGGGGGGGGGGTATTTTTATTGAGTACCTCTAACTGTCCAATAATCGAAAAGAGAGGAATGTGATTAGTGGAAAGTCATCCGTGAAGAGACTGAAGTGGGGAGGGGTGGTGGTGCAGAGATGAAAGGTATATAGCCTGGTGTAAACATAGGGCGGTTAACGCTAGCATCTGCTATTTTTGTTTTGCTCATTTGTTTGTTTGTGCGTTTGTTTGTTTGTTTTCAGTTTTAAACTTGAGTGACTTTAGATAAGATTTTGGGCAAGCAGCAAGGCTACAAGTTCAGTTCGTATCAAATCGTTATGTCATCAAGATATTGTTTTCTGTAACACACCTTCTTTCTTTTGGTTGCGTGACCCCTGAAGTAGTCAACGTTTCGTGACAGGCGTGACCACAGTGTTTTCCTTTTTAAAACCTTTAGACAAAAGTGACTACGCTAAAAGCAAAACGTGAAGCTCATGAGAAGGTTCCCCTCATATAATGCGATCCTTTCCATTGCCAAAAAAATAAAACACAAACAAAAAACGGGGGAAAATCCAGTAACATGGAGGTGATTGTTTGATTGTACCAACAACTTTAACACTCAGTCATTTCCAGCACTACCGACTGTTATAAGAATTTGAGCAAGACTTTAAATCGGAGGTATCTTTTTAGAAAGAAATCCTTATTGTGCTTCAAGCTGTGCCTTATCGATTCCATATCCGGATCCCCCATATCCTACCTTGAGATATGGATCTGGATAGAATTCACAATCTTATGGAGGGATACGCGCTCTTTTAAGCGAAGACAATAATGTTATTGGCCCGTGCTTTGACTTTTAAGTGTGTGGGAGCCAAAAAGGCATAATATACGGTTGTTAGTTTTGAATAACTCTTTTGGTGCACTGCCTGTATCTTTTCTTTTTCTGTGGTGACCTCTGTATGACCCCGAAGAACGAGTTTTGCGAGGTCACGAGACTGACCGTCTCGGAGAGATCTGGACATGTCAATTTCTCCGGGGGGAGAGCACAATGTGGTTTTAAACCTGAACTAGGTATCTTTAGTATCTTGTGGGTTCAAAGCTGTGCTGGGTATACATTTGTTGTGTGTCTTGGAAAAGGTTCCTGCGTTTTCGTGTACACAATATCTGGTTGTGATAACGGACATATTAAAATTACGTCAGGAATGGAGCCTGTGCTACAGTACAGAGCGTCAAGTGAGCGGATTTTTAACGCGACCAAGTCAGAGGGCGTTGAAGGAAATTGTTCAGTTATCAGCCTGCAGTTGGCGATATGCCATTATTCATGACTACACTGAGAAAATGGTGAGTAACGTACGTTTTTTGTGTATTTTTTTTGCTTAGCACGTTTGACTAGAGCTTTGCCCCTCTTCCCCTCCCCTCCTTTTTTACAGCACGATTTATCTTTAAAACGGGAGTTTAAAAAGGTATTGACGTCTGCTTCCGATAAGGTAAGGCTGAGAGTCGATAGAAGAGAAACGGTCGCTCGCAGCCAAGGAGATCGGGATTCGATTCCCTTGTGGGGATATAGTTTTATCGAGTATCTCGATTTTTCTTCTGGGACGCTGTATCCCTCTCAGCCCGGGTTAGCCCTGACCAGATTTATAATCATTGGCCCTGACAGGCAGGATAGGAAGCAGTTTCTGCTCCTTGTTTGTACGTATCGCTCTGCGAGACCTCGTGAGGGGTTAGGAATATACAATGCCCCATTCTGAATTGTACGCAACACCCCC